TTTTCCTCTTTTGGCCATGTCTGTTTTTCTTGTAGCTAATGAAGCAGGAGAGACTCCTCTAGATCTGGCGCAGCGTCTTAGACACAAAAAATGCGAGGAGCTGGTGCGTATATGTGTTATCTTTAATGCAAGCAGAAATCCTTAAGTGCTGCTTTTTGCTCTCTCCTTACCTGAGATTGTGTTCAAGCAAATTCCCCTCCAGTATGTTCTTCTGTGTTGTGTGATCGACAGCTGACTCAGGCGCAAACAGGGAAGTTCAACGTCCATGTGCATGTGGAGTATGACTGGCGTCTGCATAACGATGACCTGGACGAGAGTGAGGATGAGATGGAAGACAAGGTTGACATACTTTTTACACAAAAGATCCCATTTAATTAAGTTATACTTAAGATAAAAATAAAAAAAAAGAAATTTTTACTTTTATTCAGTAAGAATGTAATAAATTAATATGAAGTAACAATGAAGACATTTATAATCTTACCAAAGATATCTATTTTAAATAAATGCTGTTCTTTTGAGTCCTGATAAAAATGTATCATGGCTTCCACAAAAATATTAAGCAGCACAACTGTTTTTAACAGTGATAATAATAAGACATGGTTCTTGAGCACCAAATCAGCAGATCATAATGATTTCTGAAAGATTATGTGACACTGGAGCCTGAAGATCTTAAAAAAAGCCTGAAAAGGAGCCTGAAAAAAACTTAAAATCACTCAGCTTAAATAGACTTAATTAAAAAGAATAAATGGTATTGCACACATGCATATATTTTTTCCAAAACCTCATTCACTGTTCACTACATCGTGAATGTCACATAGTTCATTACATAAAGATCAAAATGTATTAGGACAAAGAGAATATTGAGCACTGAATATTGCTACATTATGGCTCATCCATATGTCATTGATTTTGTGTTTCAGCCTATTCCCAACAGGCGTGAGGAGCGTCCAGTTAGCTGTATTGTTCCAGGCACTGGCCCCATGATGCCCAACATGAGCGCTCTGGCACGGGACGTGGCTAATGTGGTCAATAACAAGCACAGGGCTTTTATTCCTAGTATGATCTGCAACGAGACATACGGCACCATGCTTGATGTAAGCCCACTGCTTTTGGGTTTACCAGGAGGGCCTGGTATTCCTCTTCTACCGCCTCGTACCTTGGGAAGGGGTGAGTAGCATTCAGGCATAGTGAGTTGAGGATCTTCTGGCAGTAAATTCTAAAGTAGCTTGCTTACAAGTGTACACATTCAGTAAAGTCTTAAACATACAAATTGTTTGTGATGTCAGGGTTGAGTCCTCCAGCGGAGACGGTCAGGAGGCAGAGATCATGCTCAGACCCTTCAAACCCTCAGACTCCAGAAAAAAACACCTCGGTGTACGGTGAGTCTGACCCCAGTAGTCTTACACCCATTTCTATAAAGATTATTATTTCTGTTATATATTCTGCAAACCTCTTACATTCACCAAGGCTGCATTTTTTCGATCGCTAAATGTTTATTAGCAATGTTGAAAACCGTTCTGTCATGACAACTCTCGGAGGGATTGGCATGGTAATGTACATGACAATGTTAATGTATTTGGTCTTAGCGGTATAGATCTGCTACGCTGCTGCGGCAGAGCAAGTACAGGGACTTGCTTCTGCCAATACATCCACAACATGATGCTGTGAGCATGTAAGAAATATTGCTGCTGCAAATATAACATACAGTACATGAAATAACCCCCATATAGCATACATGAATCACCTCGTAGCAGATCTATACAGGTGGAGCTGGGGAAGGTCGAGGGTTTCTGAAGCAAGCTGCAACTGCTACGGCAATCCCTAGTCATATATTTGAATGTTGAGCAGCGAGCTCATTGGCTAGCGATACAGGAGAGAACCAATCAGCTGTGCCATGTGATAATGACATCATTAGGTCAGACTGAGTTAGACCTATCGGACTGCGCCATCTAGAGTTTCATGCCAGAACTCTGTATTTGTGCTGCTAAATATTTTTGTGGAAATCATGATCCATTTTTTTCAGGATTCTTTGATGAACAGAAAGTTCAAAATAACAGCATTTATTTGAAATAGAAACCTTTGTAACACTATAAATGTTTGTACTGTCGCTTTTGATCAATTTAATGCATAAAAAAATCTTACTGTCTCCCAACTTTTGAACAGCAGTCAAGATGTTTTGCTGAACATGGTAGCTAGTTTGTTGTTCCATAATGCTCTACCGGCTGGTCAACCAAGTAAAACTACTATGGAACACCATGCACCATGTTCCAGAAATCAAGCTGTTTTTTCTTGTAGGCAGACACATAACAGGTCTTGTCTCTCCTATAGTGCTCCCCCCTGCTCCGCCGCCCCCTCCTCCTGCGGCCAAGAGACCACCGCCTCCAGATCCAAAGGCATCTCTTCCCCAAGTGCCTCTGGTTCCATCTGTACCCACTGCTCCCCCAGTTATACCACCCGTCCCAGCTAGACCAGCACCCATAGTGCCACCTGCTCCAGTGTTGCCCACGTCATTTTCATCTAAACCCCCACCTCCACCTGTACCCCCACAGCCAAAGGCCCCTGCACCTAAACCAGTGAAATCCCCCTCAAGGTAAGATGTCACCTCCCAGCTTCATTACAAATAACATTTATCTGATGTTGTTTTTTTAATAAGGATTTCAGCAGTTTGTTTTGTAGCATTATTAGCATTAGCTACATTATATCAGCTGCACTGTTCTGTGTATTTCTCAGGGATCCTGTTGGTCCATTTAGTAAAGATGTAAATGTAAATAAAGCTCCACCCATTGTCCCCCGACCAAGTGACAAAACAGGTGAATTTAATGATACTTACATACTGATGAATACAGCTCTGAAGCCAAAGAAATTAGAGATATTTTGGGTTGAAATAAGCTTAAATGTTGATTTTCATTAAAAAAAAAAATTTCTCCAGACTCCAGACCATCATCTGCTTCTACAACAGCTCCTGTTCCTGCTCCTGCCCCCAAACCCAGAATGGCCCCACCTGTAAGTGACCATTTAAGACCCTCAAAAGTACACTACCGTTCAAAAGTTTGGTGTAGGTAAAATTTTTTGATGTTTTTTAAATAAGTTTCTTTTGCATACCAAGCCTGTGTTTATTTGATCAGAAATACAAGTAAAAACTGTAATAATGTAAAATAACTGTTTTCTGTTTGAATGTATTTGAAAATGTAATTTATTCCCATGATGGCAAAGCTGAATTTTCCGCAGACATTACTCCACTATTCAGCGTAACATGATCCTTCAGAAATCATTGTAATATAATCATCTGGTGCTTAATACACATTTCTTATTATTATCAATGTTGAAATAGTTGCTTAGTATATTTGTGAAAACGATGACAGATTTGTTCAGGATTCTTTGATGAATAGTATTATTAAATTCTTTAAAAAAATTACCTCAGAATTTTAAACAGTAATTTATTTTTAATTCTTCTTTTAAATGAAATTTTTCATCATTTGATTTTTGTTTTATTTTACTTTTTTCAAACGGATTAAAAAATAAAGTTGCTCGGAAAATATTTTGACATTTAAGCCACATTTAAATATGAAATTTCATTGCATTACATAAACCAAGTGACATCTGCGAACATGAAAAGTGTTATTTTTCTTTAAAATAAATCTTTTTATACTTTTGTTATTATACATATTAATTTTGATGTCGGTGGCAAATCTAAAACATTTCTGTTGTATTTGTTTAAGAAACAGAGACCTAAGAGAGTGAAGGCCCTATATACCTGTCATGCTGATAACCTAGATGAACTGACCTTCTCTGAAGGAGAGGTGATAATAGTGGATGGAGAGGAGGACAAGGAGTGGTGGGTGAGTACGCAGTCATACTTTACACAGTACACGTGCACTGTGTGTGATCTTGATGACTCTTCCATGTGTCCTGCAGGTGGGCCACATTGACGGGGAACCGACCAGGAAGGGCGTTTTTCCAGTCTCGTTTGTTCACTTCATCACTGACTGATGTCATACATTGCTGTCTTACTAAGATCACAGGCACAGGCTTTTTGTGACAGAAACCTGAGACCACTGATTATTTAACAATGGATTAACTAGTCACCATCCTTATGGCTGGATGGTGGCGTACGGGACATTCTCAAACAGAAGACCTCTGGAAATGGCTCAGTTTATCAATTATTCCAATTCCAAGTGCAATTACCTCCAACTTTAAAGCAGAAATGTTGTTTGAACTGTGATGAGTGCTATGCTTTATATGGGGACCATTTTTTATAAACCGTAATTTTGTTGCATCCTTACTCTAATCTTCATAGAGCTTTTTATCTATATCAGTTGCAGCGCAACTCTTATTTTGCAAGTGCAGTTAAGTGACGTAATTTGTATACAAATATGTTCTCCAAGTTCTGTTACTGAACAAGCCATTAAACCCTTTACTCTGTACATTTAAAGGATTGGCTTTATTTTCAGCACTAGATATATTTTTACAAAATACCTGACAAAATATCAAAGTAGTGGCTCAACAGTTCACAGTAATGTTATACATTTTAATAGTTACACTACATTTGAAATGTTTGGGGTGATATTTTCTTAATATTTCTGAAATAAATTATTTTCCCCAAACTGCACACAGCAGTACTGTAAAATATTTTTACAATTTAAAATAACGATTTCCTATTTTAATACATTTTAAAATGTAATTTATTCCTGACTGCATTACTCCAGTCTTCAATGTCACATGATCCTTCAGAGATCATTCTAATATGCTGATTTAGCGCTCAAGAAACATTTCTGATTATGTTGACAACAGCTGTGCCGCTTAATATTTTAATGGAAACACATTTTTCTCAGGATTCTTTGATTAATAGAAGGTTCAAAAGAACAGCATTTATTTGAAATTAATTTTTTATACCATTGTAATTGTCTTTACCGTCACTTTTGATCAGTTTAATGTGTCCATGCTGAATAAAAGTATTAATTTCCTTAAAAAAAAAAAAACAATTCTCAGACCTCAAACTTTTGGACCATAGCATACATTTACAAACCACTCCCCCATAAACCAGGACATCTTGCCATATTGAAACAAAGGGTCCAAGCATCATCTTTGACCACCACATTTGATTAATTTACAGTATTGTCAGATGGTCCAAGAACATTTTTTTTTCACAATTTTCAAAAGACAACCTTCAAGTTTCCTCATAATGCTTATAGAAAAAAATACTTTAAACTGTTCAAAATACTCATCCATATATTTACAAATCAAAAATCTTCACAACAGATGTCTTAAACCACGGCAGAGTTAATATATGCACAGTGGTCTCTCCAAAAAGGCCAAAGTAGTCAGTTAAGATGGGGTAGTTCATCTCAAAGAAGCAAAGCCTCTTCTTTTATGTGGTCTGTACAGCTGCTACAGTATTTGAAACATCTGCAAAAACAAATATGAAAAAAAGTTCAGTCAATCATTCTGCAGCCCTATCCAATGCAATATCAACTGCTGCAAAGTTCAACACTCTGCAGTGGTGCTGGAGCAGAGTAGTTGTTCCACTGGAATAAGGTGGGTACAGCCCCTTTCTTTAGCAAGCGGCGCCCTTTAGGAGTCAATGGCTCTTTCACATCTTCACTGTTGAAATGACGACTGCAGACTCTCATATGGGAAGTGATGATTAAATCCTTGCGTTGAATGCTACATATCCACTTTTTGCGTCTTTCTTCATCCGTGGGGTAAGAGTGAAAGCTCAGCACAGAGTTGAACTTTGAGGAGGCCGAACACAATGGGACACAACAATGCTCGGCCGCACTACTGTCTGCCTGCCGTTGATATTTAAACTTTCTGGATGCCTTTACTACAATGAGATATTGTGTATATTTATAACAGTACTTAGCTGTATACTTCAAAAATGAATCAGTTGAATCTGATACATATTGTATGATAACATACAAAACGAATTTTGCTATAAGTTTGATCGCAACATATAATCATTGCTGTTAAAGGGATAGTTCACCCTCAAGCCATCCTAGGCGTATATGACTTCCTTCTTTCAGATGAATCCAATCGGAGTTAGATAAAAAATTGACTTTGATCTTCCAAGCTGTTTAATGGCAGTCAGCGGGTGTTGCAGTGCATCAGTCCAAAAGAAGTGAAATAAAGCGCATGCATCCATAATAAAAAGTGCCTCACATGGCTCCGGGGGGGGGTTAAGAAAGACCTCCTGTAGCGAATCGATGCATTTTTGTAAGAAAAATATCCATATTCAAAACGTAATAATCACTTTAATCTAGCCTGCACCAACAGTTGTACACGGAAGCAGCTCCGGGCTGATGACGTATGAGGTCAGCGTTGCGCATGCGCCGGTGAGTCTCGTGAAAACCAACGATTGTTTACAGGAGCAAAGGAAGCAAAGTTTCCTTACTTTAGCAAAGGAAAACCAATCTCCTCTTGGCTTCTATCGAAATCCTCCAACATTCTTCTTTACAAATCCTCGTTTTGTACTTCTAACTCGTGACCGTTGTTTTGTTTTGATCTCTCCCCTGCGTTTCCACGTGTCACTTCTGAGCGGCGCATGCGCATAGCTGACCTCATACGTCATCCGCCCAGAACTGCTTCCGTGTACAACAGTGAGCGCAAGCTAGATTAAATTGATTATTATGTTTTAAATATGGTTATTTTTCTTACAAAAACGCATTGATTCACAACAGGAGGACTTTATTCACCCCCTGGAGCCGTGTGAGTAGGGCTGGACGATATGGCCAAAATTGATATTACGATATATATTTCTTAATTTCGGTCGATAAGATATAATTCTGATATCGATATGAACACTATTTATCTGAAATATACATTTTTTGTAACATTATAAATGCCTTTACAATCACTTTTGATCGATTTTATGCATCCTTGCTAAATAAAAGTATTCATTTCTATAATTTCTTTCCCAACAAGATTTCCCAATTATACTGAATGGAATAGTGCAGGGGTGGCGAACTCTAGTCCCGGAGAGCCGCAGCCCTGCAGAGTTCAGCTCCAACCCTAATTAAAACTCACCTGCCTGTAGCTTCCTAGTAACCCTTCAGACCTTGATTAGCATGTTCAGGTGTGTTTGATTAGAGTTGAAGCAAAACTCTGCAGGGCTGCAGCTCTCCAGGACCGACGTTCGCCACCCCTGGAATAGTGTATAACAGGGATCCTCAAATCTGGCCCACGAGATCCACTTTCCTGCAGAGTTTAGCTCTAACCCTAATCAAACACACCTGAGCATGCTAATCAATGTCTTCAGGATCATTAGAAAATCACAGGTAGCTGAGTTTGATCAGGGTTGGAGCTAAACTGTAAAGCGCATTGGACCTCCAGGGTAAGATTTGAGGAACCCTGGTGTATAATGTTACAAAAGCTTTTTATTTCAGATAAATGCTGATTTTTGGATCTTTCTATTCATCAAAGAATCTTGAAATTTTTACTCAACTGTTTTAAATATTGATAATCAGCATATCAGAATGATTTCTGAAGGATCATGTGACACTGAAGACTGGAGTAATGATGCTGAAAATGTACCTATGTATGATCACAGGAATAAATTACATTTTAAAATCTATTCAAATAAAAAGCATTTTTAAATAGTAAAAATATTCCAACATTTTACTGTTTTTGCTGTACTTTGGATCAAATAAATGCAGCCTTGGTGAGCAGAAGAGAATTCAAAAAAATAAAAATAAATAAAAAACCCACCATTAAACATCTTACTGTTCAAAAACTTTTGACTGGTAATGTAGGCTGATTATTCTTATAGATTGAAACAAATGTGCTTCAGAGAGAAAAAAAGGGTATGAAAATTGCTCCGAGTCGCTGCAGAAAACAAAAACAAAAATCGAACAACAAAAACTGGAAACGTTGCTGGAGACGGGCTTATTGAAAATGAAAACTCATTCTCTGCCAGCAGGAGGCGCTTTTAGAGTGATAAAACTAGCGGTTTCTCAAGTAACGGCTGTAATCAAAGCAGCTCCGCTCATGAACGCTACTTTATCTGATCAAAAGAAAATGCCATCGAAACTTTTCTGAAGACAGTCGGTTCCCTTCAGAGATACATTCATGTAAAACACCCGCGCCATGCAGTGCTCATGTTTATTCAACGAAGTCAAACGGCACAAATAAATCAATGTATGGGAAACTGGTAATGTATATCGGAAATGTGTTTATAAATCAAATCACCGTTATTGAAAAAAAATTACATCGCGGTACATATTGATATTGAATTATTATCCAGCCCTACGTGTGAGGCACTTTTTATTATGGATGGATGCGCTTTATTTCCCTTCTTTTGGACTGAAGCACTGCAACACCCGCTGACTGCCATTAAACAGCTTGGAAGATCAAAGACAAATTTTAATATAACTCCGACTGGATTCATCTGAAAGAAGAAAATCATATACACCTAGGATGCCTTGAGGGTGAGTAATTCATGGGCTAATTTTCATTTTTGGGCGAACTAACCCTTTAATAGTGTTCACCGTCTGTTTGATTACATGTCATTAACTAACTGCTTGATTGTTACCGTACATTTCTGCCATATGGACATCAACGTGAGATAGTCACCACTGATAAGCTACTACTAAATATAATGTAGAAACTTTAATTTTCTGTAAAGCTGCTTTGCAACGATTTGCATCGTGAAAAGCGCTATACAAAAAAAAGAAAGGAAAGAAAGATACGTAGGCTGCGTCCTGTGCATAGAGTCCACTGAACAATGCAGGTCTCAAATGTTGACCTTTGCTAAATAATAATCCACAAGCATTGAGCTTTAATGATGGACTGCTGCAAATATTGTGCTAAATACTGATGTTTGTTGAATGGACATATTTTGTTCTTTAACAGCTAATACCTTTCAAATGTCTGGGGTCGGTAAGATCTTTTAATGTTTTTGAAAGTCTATTTTGCCTTAAAATATTAAATGTATATTCCTGTGATGCAAAGCTGTACTTTCAGCAGCCATTACTCCAGTTTTCAGTGTCACATTATCCTTCAGAAATCATTCTAATATGCTGATTGGGGCTCAAGAAACATTTCAGGATTCTTTGATGAATCGAAAATTCACAAGAACAGCATTTAAAAAAAAATATATATATATTTTGTAACATTATAAATATCTTTACTGTCACTTTTGAGCAATTTACTGCCTTCTTTCTGAATTAATGTATTAAAGGCCCCAATATACTTCAAGCGAAATCGAAGAATGAACTGATGTGACGTCATTTCGAACAAAATCGAAGTTTGTTTTGGGAGTTCTAAACGGCTTGCCAAAGCAAATCTTCCGGAATAGTTCCGGCTGCAAAACACCTTCGTACTACCATTGGTCTGTGACGATTACATCATAGGAGGTGTGCTCTGAGGCTCTACCTTCTTTCATGCGTAACTCTTCTCTGTGTTCATTTCATCTGTGCGATGTCCACGCAGTGGAGAGCCGCTTTATAGTAGCAAATTAAGTTTTGCTTTTGATGAAATGAGACACTGACACTGTTTTTCCATGTATTGAATAAACTGCCATGTAAATACACGTCGTGACTTCACAGGAGTGCTAAATTGCAGAGCACGTGCAAGCATAGGCTATGAACAGATGCTTTTTTTTAAATAAAAAAATGCTTGCTGTTCTCTCCATTTTTGTTGTGTTTATTTTGTTACTGAGAGGAAAGCGCGCAGCACATATTTACATATTCATTTAAATGTCACTTTCATCAGAGTGGGCGGCGTCGGGATGTTCGATAACAGTATACCGCTGCTCATGTATTTCGAACTTTGTTTTACCCCTAAACGAAGAACGAAAAATAACTTAGTTTTGAGTATATCAGGGCCTTATTAATGTATGAATGTATTATCCTAATTTCTTAAAAAATAAAAATCTTACTGACCCCAAACTTTTGAACGTTATTGTAAGTGATCAAAATGCATCAAAGTGTGGAAAACAAGGCTATATGGCTAACCTGATATAAGTGGTTGTGTGTGAATCTGGCTCTCCTCTAGTGTCAGAAAGCAGGCTGGTTTGACAAGCTTCGATTCTGTGTTAGTTGGATCCACAGCTTCACTTGGGCCCTCAGTCTCACAGGTGAGTATATGGATGGGCCCTCTGCAGCCCTTCAAGTGGATCTGGATCGATTCCTAGAGCAGGACATAAACATAAGTTCATATAACACCTATTACTACCTGCTATCAGATCAGATGAGTGTTCTTTAATCATGATTCAAATTAGGGGTGGGCAAGATGACCAAAAGGAACTGGAAAAGTCCTTTCCCTGTTGTCCCCTCACATCAAAAATCAACCAACTTATTGGTTTAAAACGGTTTGGATCTTTTTTCGCTTAGAGACAGTGCTTTATCTGTGCAGATTTCTCTCCCAATTCAAACAAGACATTTTTTTCCACTGGAGAAATCAATGTTTAAGGACTCATATTTTAGCTGGAAGCAACGGTTTAAAGTTAAAAGCATCTCAAAGATAGATTTGTTTATTACAAACATGCAGCTTTTTATTTGACAGGAAATTAATTTGATGGACTGGAGTCATGTGGATTACATGTGTATTACTGTGATGTTTTTATCAGCAGTTTGGGCTCAGACAAGAAAGCACTGTGTGAAGAGAGGGGAGCGTGACTGGCAAAGGACCTCGAGACGGGAATTGAACTCGGGTCGCCGTGAACACAGGTATGTTGGCGCACTAACCACAGGGCTATTGGCACCAACTAGGGGGAGTAATTTTTATTTTTGGAAGAACTATTCCTTCAATGGCAATCACAGCAGCAGGTGATATAATATAGTCGTCTGTCACTTTAATACCTCATGCATGGATCCAATATATATATATATATATATATATATATATATATATATATATATAT